CACCAAACACCGTCATGACACGGCCCGTGCTCACAGCACGAGTGTACGACTTCCTTATGAAGTCACAGGTCTGTTTAGATTTTATTTAAACAATCTGTTTTTAAAATCTCCCCAGCAGCAAACTACTGCCAGTACATTACTTTACTACTCAGTGTGCTTTTTATAATCATTTGCTTTGACTTACCTCAGCTCTATTTCTTTATTATAAAAGTTTTGCAGAATGCTTTTTATCTTCCTGCTTTTATATTTGCTCAGTGAAGCTCTATGTTTTAATGGCATAGCATCATTTTTGCACCAATATGCAGCCCAAAGTTGAGTCGAGGACACAGGTGGATAATTATACCTCTAAATGTATTTATTACTTGTTTTTTGACCATATAGGAAGCTCTGGCCGTCAACTCAAACACAGAGTTCAGGCTCTTTGAGTCTCATCAATATGGAGAAAGTGATTTGCTGTTTAAAGATGCAACACAATGCTTTGCCCACACGAGTCACATGGACTACCGCTCCATCCTCGGAGAGGAGTTCTACACCCACGCAGACACGGTCTTCAACTGCACACACTCTGGTACGACAGCAGCCCGACAGAGTGGCCGATTGTTGCACAATTAAACTGTCACTAATGGGTCTGTTTGCTTTCCTTTCCAACAGATATATTGGAGTTTTGCAATCAAGATGTGTGCAGCATATTTTAATGGACCCACCAACAAGAACAACGCAACCTCTGTGCTTCAGTTTTTCCACTCTTCATCCACATACTTGTTATGTCTGCAAACCATCACTTTTTATCATCATGTTCACAAAAAACTCAATAAAATGTTAAAATGTTGGGATTTTTTTTAACTTTTTACTACATTTAGATGCCATATGAACTAAAAATGATGAGTGATGTGTAATCTTTGTGTTTTTCAAAGACACAAAAACTACATTTAAGCATGACAGTAAATGCAAGAATTCATTGTCATACTGATTTTATCTTATGACATTCTCTCAGCAAAATGTCACACATAGAACCTGTTATAATGCCCAGCACTGCACTTATCTCTGTACTACATATATTGTGCTATAATTACCTCTTTTGTCAGATTTGTTGTGTGCCTTTAACTTAACTTTGTTTGTTATGTTAAGAATTAATAAGTTTCTGCTTTTCTTCTGTCATTATGGTAAGCAAAGAAAGTCTAAAGAGCCACTCCATGAGGCTGCACCGATGACAGAATGACATTGTAGTTTGTTTAAGTGTGTATCATTTGTCTGCTTTCACCTTTAAAGCTGGTAAAATGATTTGTTTAGTATAAATTGTAATTTTGCAGACAGGTGAGAAATTAAAGGATCACCTTGAACCCTTGTTCAAGGTGATCCTTTCCAGTGGTTGGCACATGTTCACTTCAAAGATAATACATTTTAATGTACACTACCAAACCTCATTTAATGTTTTTTTTCTTTATTTTCATGACTATTTACGTTGTAGATTCTCACTGAATGCATAAAAACTATGAATGAACACATATGTAGTAAACAAAAAAGTGTGAAATAACTCAAAACATGCTTTATATTTTGTTTTTCAAAATAGCCACCCTTTGCTTTGATTACTTCTTTGCACTTGTTGGTCCTTTTGCCTTCACTCTGGAATCCATCTCATCCCAAACCATCTCAATTGGGTTTAAGTCAGGTGACTATGGAGGCCATTGGGGGGGTCACTGTCCTATTGAAAAGTAAATGTTGGTTCAACTAAATGCAAACCAGATGGGATGGCATGTCGCTGCAGGGTGCTGTGGTAGCCATGCTGGTACAGTGTGCCTTCAATTTTGAATAAATCCCCAACAATGTCACCAGAAGAGCACGCCCACACCTTCACAACTCCCCCTCCATGCTTCACGATGTGAACCATGCATGTAGAGACCATCCGTTCACCTTTTTTGCATCGCACAAAGACAAACCAAAGGGTGGAACCAAAGATCTCAAATTGGGACTCATCAGAACAAAGCACAGTTTTCCACTGGTCCAGTCCTTGTGTTTCTTGTCCCAGGCAAATCTCTTCTGCTTGTTGCTTTTCCTTAGTTGTGGTTTCTTAGCAGCTATTTGACCATAAAGGCCTGATTTGTCTCATCTGAACAGTTGATGTAGAGATGTGTCTGCTACAGGAACTCTGTCTGCCATTTATCTGGACTCTAATCTGAGGTGCTGTTCACTTGTGATTTCTGACGCTGGTGACTCGGCTGAATTTATCCTCAGCAACAGAGGAGAGGTGAGTGGAGGAGTAGAGGGGAGTCTGTTACAATGTAACCACATCATTCGGTTTCACAAAGTGGCAAACATTATTCATTACATATTTAGTGGCGATTGGAATAAAATCTTGTGGATATAGCTTTTGGTGATAACAGCCTATAAAATCGATCCACCAGATGTCAGTAGATTGCAGTCAATTGAATTCTGTTTTCTTCCTCCTAATTCAAGTGTATAATCCTAGCTATGGTGTCTACTGTAGAGCAAACATATTTTAGTCTTAAAACTAAAACTAGTTTTAGTTTTGAAATATTCATTTTATTTTATTATTGTTTTTTGTTTTTATCCTAATTCTTTCCTCTTCGTTGTCTTCGTAAACCACATTGAATTGCTTTTGTATGAAAGGTGTTATATAAATAACTAAATGACATTCCCTGACTTTGAATTTAGTCAACTACGAGAGATCAAAAACATTAGTAAACAGATTACTAGGCCATGTATCAAACGAAGGTATAATCATTATTATTATTCCACCTTTGCTGTTGATGATGTGACCAGTCAAAATGTCTGTGGTACAAAGTACTCGGTGCAGCTGTTGATCTGAACATGCAAACCACACAACAAACTATTAACAGGAAGTGTTGCGTGCTGCCAAACATGCACACCTACTCTGTAACGTGTGCACTGTGGTCTGAGAGTTATTTGCTACAGTCAGAGGCACCTGCAGCAGCTTAAGAAGCACATAGCTAATGAGCCAGTGGGGAAGCTGGTGTACCTGGAGAGAACCCATGCAAACTTCACACAAGGCCCCGGCCAGATGGTGGAACTGAACCCAGGGCCTTTTGCCGTGAGGCAACAATGCTAATGACTGTTTGAAAAAGCAAAGATTTCATCTTCATGTTCTTGAAAACTCAAAAGAGCTTTTTCACCACAAAAGCTGTGCAAGGAAAAGCAGAGAGAACACAGCAAACACAGTATGCTACCAGATTAATTTTGATGGTGTTATACATTGAAGACTAAAAATAAGGTGCGTACTGTAGAGCAAATTACAAAACAAATATAAAATGGAACTTTTAATCAGAAATGTAGAATAGAAAAACATTTCAGATAAAAGTTAAAAGAAGAGAATATCAGCTGCCAGTCAAAAACAATATATTTTACTGCTGCGAGGTATTAGGAGTTTATTAAAACAAAAAATCAAAAATACAACTCAAGCAAAAACACCACAATCTATGCACAGCTGAACAAAATTTGAATTGGTACAACAATCCCATGTGTATAGAGATACATGAGTTATATGTTTATCTGTTGCTCTCGCTGACATTAAACTGCACAGCGTTTATAAGTAAATTACCTAGAGACAAATTAATATCCAGTGATATCCATTAATATCCATATACCAGTGCACATGAAAAAGAAAATACACCCTCTTTAAGTTATTCGTTTTTACAGATCAGGAAATAATGAAAAAAAATCACCTTAATCTTACTAGATTTCTTGTAGAACTTCAGATAAGCAAACACACATCACACAATATTACATAGCTACCTTATATTGTTACCAAAAACTTGAAAAACAAACACTGACTTCAGAAAATGTGTGTGAAAAACAAAGTAGACCCTTGCTGTTTTCATGGCATTTAAGAGGGTAAGTAGCACCCAGGAGCTGCTAATCAGATCCACTTAATTAATTGATCATCAAAGTATAAAGATCACGGTTTCAGCAGTTTGCTGGTCTGGAGCATTCAGGTGTGTGTCAGTACAAAGGAAACATATCAGCGATCTTAGAGAAGCAACTCCAAGAGAACCAAATTCCAAGTCCATCATACTACAGTGAGAAAGATTATTTGCATGTGGAAAACATACCATGTCATGTTCCCAGAGTGGATGTCTCAACAAACTGACATCAAGATCAAACCGTGCAGTGCTCATAGAATCTGGTGCTGAATGCCCAGAAGACAGTGGAGATTATTGTGGACTTCAGGAAGCACACAGCCCCACTCCCCCCCATCATCCTGACTGACACCCCCATCACCTCTGTGGACTCATTCCGCTTCCTGGGTACCACCATCACCCAGGACCTGAAGTGGGAGCCCACCATCACCTCCGTCATCAAGAAAGCCCAGCAGAGGATGTACTTCCTGAGGCAGCTGAAGAAATTCAACCTGCCAACACGGAGATGATGCAGTTCTACACTGCAATCATCGAGTCCATCCTCACCTCCTCCATCACCGTGTGGTACGCTGGAGCCACTATCAGGGACAAACAGAGACTGCAGCGTGTTGTGCGCTCTGCTGAGAAGGTGATTGGCTGCAAACTCCCATCTCTGCAGGACCTGTACACCTCCAGGACACTGCGGCGTGCAGCTCGGATCTCAGCTGACCCTTCTCACCCTGGACACAGTCTGTTTGACCTGCTCCCCTCAGGCAGGAGGCTCCGGTCCATTCGCACCAGAACCTCTCGCCATAAGAACAGTTTCTTCCCCTCTGCTGTTGGACACATGAACAATAACCACATGACTGTCCCCGCCACTAACACATGACCCTACGCTGTGTCACTGCATCATTTCATGTTTGGCACTGATCACCACCTGCACTCATGTATATATCTTTCTACGTAGCACTCATAATTCTTATTCTCATGTATATATCTCATGTATATCTCATGCACATATCTTTCTTTCTACATAGCACTTTAATTCTTATTGTTTGCACTGAAGCACCGCAGCAATTTCCTAATGTTGTAAACCTCAACATCTGGCAATAAACCCCATTCTGATTCTGATTCTGATTCTGATTCTGATTCTGAAAAGCCCAAGAGTTACATCTTGGTCTCTACTGGCCTCAGTTATCATGTTAAATGTTAGATTTCATGATAGAAAGCCTCTTCACTCTAAAAAGAACATGGCAGCAATGTTTGGGTTTGCAAAGCTGCATTTGGACCAATCACAAGACCAACAACTAAAGCTTGCATAAACTCACACCATACAAAATAACTGACAAAGAAAAGAAACAAGTTGGTAGCAATGGCCTAGTCAAAGTGCAAATCTCAACCTGGTGGGACCTCAAAGAGCTGTGCATAAACAAACGGAACAAACTTCAATGAACTGAAGTGACGCTGTAAATAAGAGTGGGCCAAAATTTCTCCACAAAGATGTGAAAGACTGAATCAGAAACAGATTACTTTATTAATCCCAGAGGAAATTATGTGGTCACATAAACAGTAAGAACAGTAACTACGAAAACTAAGTAATACAATATCTTGCAAAGTTTTTTTTTTCTTTTTTTCTAAAGCTTTTTAAAACAGCCGCAGTGGACACACAGTGTTGTACATCATACATGAATGAAATAGTGAGAAAATAAAGCTAAAAAAGTAAAAAGCAACACAATGAATACTGTAATGATCTACTTTCTGGCCTCCCTAAAAACAAACTAGCCCCCTACTACACTCCAGAACTTAGGTACACAGGTTGTGACCAAGGCCAGAAGAGAGTATGAACAACACCAGCTTTTAAGTATCTCCATTGTCAGCCTCAGAACAGATTCTTTATCTAGTTTTTAGGTTTTTGAAGTTGTCCCTAAAGTCAGACGTAAAAAACCCACAGTGCGAAAGCTTTCTGTTACTATGCTGCACATCTGTGGAACAGCCTTCCTGAAGACCTGAGGACAGCCAATCATGTCAATGCTTTCACAGCCACAACCCACTGATAGCGCTTTCTTAGTCCAGTTTCTGATGTTTTATCTGTTGGGCTCAGTAGTAACTTATTGACTAATTATTGTTGAAGGTGGGTCTGCAAACTACTGAATCATTTTGATTACACTTTTGCAAAATGCATAATAAAACAGTGAGATCAATGATTGTTTTCTACAGTCATTGGGTGTAATATGTCATGTTGTTTTATACTTAGACTTAAATCATGTGAGAGCCTGGTAAAGACCAGGTGATGTTCTGATATTTCACGCTGTGTAAAGCTACATCATGAATGCACCAAAGAAATGTTCAGAAACATTATATTGCAAAATGTTTAAATTCGTCCTTATCCTCACAAAAATTCCGTCACCTTTATGCAAATGAAAAAATCCACCCAGAAAGCTGTTGTTTAGGTCGCTTGAGTTCACCCGTAACTCTTTCTGTGACTGCATGAGGGTATAATGATTTCCATGTAGGTCAGCAGATTTCATAACAAAGTGGTGAAAAAACTCAGGTGACTGGTTCCAGAGCCCATGGTCACTAAAGCAAACCTTGGAATACACATAGTAAAATCCCTCCTCCTGAACTTCAAGCCTACCATCTTTGTAGGCCATGCCGCTGAGAACAGTCAGATTATTTATATGCCAAAGCATCACCTCGTTTTCTTGAACCGACCCGCCTGCAGGGATAAAAGACAAGATGGATGTAGCAATTTAAAGTTGTGTATTTTCAGTCAGACACGGCAAACAATTAAACCAATTTATGTAAAGTTCAGCTCCTGTTTTGGGCCAGTTATGATCTGTTTTGTGAAACTGCTAGTTTCAATGAATTGTTCAAAAGGAAATAGGGACTGCAGAGTTGATCTGACAGAAGGGACAGAAGACACCCGCACATTTGCTTCTAAACTATACCCAGCGTTTTATTAATCAGATTTTTTTGTACACCGTCATAAAAATTTGAATTTCCTGTAGTCACCTCGCCTTGTTCTTCATCCGTCTTGTCCCACCCCATTTAAAAAAGATCTAAATGCCCCTGATAGCACACAGTTGATAATGCAGGACTTTAGTTTTGTGATAATATTCACCAAATCATTATTATTATTGTTATTATTATTTATTTGGTAAATATTTAAATTAATGTGGCTTCTTCACATAATGTGCCAACAAATGAATAAAATTAAAAAATATTCTTCTTAGCTTCTTTTTTCTCTGAAATCAAATCTTGGTGTGTTTATTGCAGTTTCAAAACAAACTCACCGTTTATACTCAGCATGTAACTCTGCTGCCTTACATCTGATATATAAATACAGCACGCAAGACAAAGTATTTATCACTGACAATGGGAAATGAAGGCTTTTCTATACAGTTTGACCGTTAATTAGAGAAACAAATGCAAAAATCATGCAAATCAGAAAATCATGACGACGGTTATTTTATTTATGGATGGTATACACTTGTGTTATTTACAAAAAAAAAAAAAAGTTATCCAACCTGTCAGATGTGCAAAACCACGGATTCTACCATCTTGTTCTGCAATGGAAACAAAAATCTAAAATGCGGGGAGGGGTATGTTTTGTTTTTTAGATATGCTCACAAAAGATATTCTTAGTCTCGAGATTTTAGTTCATGGTTGAATTAAGGTTATAAGAGACTTGTGTACCTGATCTGTTGTTCAGTCTTGAGACAGCCTGCAATGGAAGTTACAAATTAGTTTGAAAGAAATTGTCAATGCGTCATATTTGATGATAGAGTATGACGTTTACTTGTACAGAGAAGAATTTTTAAAAAAATAAAATCAATTTTTTTAAAAGTACAGAAAAATTGAGTAAAATATAAACAAATGACTGTTAAAACGAGACAAGCTCACAACAAATGTGCCCAAAGTAATAGAAGCTTTTGCAATTAGATATGTGCTACAGTAGTATCTATCTTATCAGCTGATATATCACAACAATTGCTTAATTGTTGTGATATATCAGCTGATATATCACAACAATTGCTTAATTGTTACAGTTAATTAATTCATTTTTATACCTCTAAAGTCACAATAAGAGAGGATAAAAAGCAGGCAATAAATATTTAGATTTAAAGACTAGAGTACACTGAGCTGATACTCACCAATTCACGGTGGTAAAGCAAGTTAATAAAAAAAGCCTGTGCAGCAATGCCATACAGCACTACAGTCAGGAGGACAAACAGCAGCGTTTGTGCCAATTTGTCATCTTTTTGTTGCTCATCTGGATTCTGGGGCACTGCAGCAACAAGTCTGTCCAGTTCCACACCAGTGTCCGCCATTCCTGCAGAGAAAATATCTTCAAATAATAGACAAAAAGTTTCTTTTTGACTCAAGGAAGCCACTCAAACGCAAGGAAGTACTGTGGTTTAAAGTAGCGATGACTCGCCATCCTGAGGGGCACTACCAGTAACAGAAATGCATGCACACACTGCAAAACACATTTCCTCTTAAACACAGTCACACTTCAACCATATGCTCTGGTTTCACAGTCATGTGTCGTATAATCAGTAAACATTTTTTTGAAGTTCACATTGACTCCAGAACCACTGATCACTCAAGACGTCCCAGAATATTTCGATTCTGTGAAAACATATCTTACAGTATTACTCATCTTCCACAATATCAAAAGGATCCACGCATATGCATTTTTCAAGATGTAACAATAACACTGTCACAATAATTTTAGTTTTGGTGATATCGCTGAGTTTTGCTACCTTTTTGTTCTGATTGGCACTCTGGTTATTTTCTGTACGCTAGTCTCTTTTTATCTCTAAGGTAAGGATTAGCATTAAAAATGAAAAAAAAAATTAGTTTTCTTGTATCTTATTTTGTTTTGTGCTTCCCATCTTCTCTCCTGTTTCTCTGATTGATGTCGCCTGCAGTTTATTTGCCTACTTTCCACTGTTTGTCATGAGTAATCAGTCACCTATACATAGTCCTCTCCATATGCTGTGTCCTACAATACATCTCTGACAGGTGTTAGAGAGCCTGCCAGGCAGAAATCCCTGAAGGCAAATTTCTCCCAGTTGCTGAGATATGATCTAACGTTCTGCTTCTCCACCGTTTTTGGTTGGTTGTAACAGACAAAAGAACTGTAAATGCAGATAAGAGGTTTTGTAGGCAAAGGTAGCATAAGTGCCACAATAGAGTTGCAACAGAAACATTAATTGGAATCAAACCAGGCATCAGTTATATGTCACAGTTTCACTTTGTGAGCAGTGTGTTTGAGATTCACTATCGGAGCAAAGAGGAATTCTAACTATCGGGGATACTGCCACTTCTACCTGCTGCTGATTTCATATAACGAGCAGGACTTTTAAAGAAGCCACAGCTGGAAGAAAAGTAAGTTTCAAGATACATCTTCAGTCTCTAATTACCCCAGCTGCATTTTTTTTCACTCAGAGGCAAAATGTCCTCTCAGTCAGAAATGAATCTCTCTTGTTCGATCTGCTATGACATCTTCAGAGACCCCATCATGCTGTCATGCAGCCACAGCTTTTGTAAAGACTGCCTGCAAATGTGGTGGAAGGAGAAACCAGTACGTAAATGCCCACTTTGTAAGAATTTGCATTTGTCAGATGACCCACCCTGTAACTTGGTGTTAAAGAACCTGTGTGAAGCTTTCTTACTGGAGAGAGATCAAAAAGCTTCTTTGGAGTCAGAGCCTCGCTGCAGTCTGCACTCTGAGAAACTCAAACTCTTCTGTCTGGACCATCAGCTGCTAGTGTGTCTTGTTTGTAGGGATTCAAAAATACACAACAAACACAAATTCAGAACCATCGAAGAAGCTGCGGAGGATCACAGAAAAGTGCTTCAGGTGTTACTACAGCCCTTAAAAGAGAAACTGAAGCACTTTAAAATAGTTAAAGGAGACTTTGATCAAACCAGAGAACACATTAAAGTCCAGGCCCTTCACACAGAGAGGAAGATCAAGGAGAAGTTTGCAAAAATGCACCAGTTTCTACAAGAAGAAGAAAAAGCAAGAATCACTGCTCTGAGGGCAGAAGAGGAGCAGAAGAGTCAGATGATCAAGGAGAAGATGGAGGCTCTGAGCAGAAAAATAGCAGCTCTTTTAGACGTTATCAGAGTCACAGAGGAGAACCTGAGAGCTGAAGATGTCTCATTTCTGCAAAACATCAAGCCTGCAGTGAACAGAGTCCAGCAGCGCACCCTGCTGGAGGAACCACATGTGGTCTCAGGAGCTCTGATAGATGTGGCCAAACACCTGGGCAACCTAACCTTCAACATCTGGAAGAACATGAAGGAGATGGTCTCCTGCACTCCAGTGATTCTGGATCCAAACACAGCTCATCAACAACTCATCCTCTCAGAAGATCTGACCAGTGTGAGTCTCGGTGAGAGACAGCAGCTTCCCAACAATCCAGAGAGGTTCGACCACCATCCAATTGTTCTGGGCTCCGAGGGCTTCGACTCAGGGACTCACAGCTGGCATGTTGAGGTTAGAAAGGATGGGATCAGGTGCCTCGGTGTGCTAATAGAGTCTGTTAAGAGAAAAGAACAATTACAGACTGGATTCTGGGAAATATGTCTCCAGGATGGACAATACACAGCAGCTGCTCCACCACTTCCTGATAAACTTCTCTCAGTGAAGAAGCTCCAGAGGGTCAAAGTTCAGCTGGACTGTGACAGAGGGAAGCTCTCATTCTTCGATCTTGACACCAGCACACACATACACACCTTCAAACTCAGTTTCACTGAGAAGCTGTTTCCTTACATTGGCACGCACAATAAAGTACCAATGAAGATTTTACCTGTGACTGTGAGAGTGGAACAGCACACGCCCTCTTTATCTACGGGTTTTTGGTTTAGCTAGCTCTTATTTCCACTCAGAAATCTCTGAGTTTTGATGAGTTTTATTTAAGAATTTAAACATTTCAATAGCTTATTAGGGTTTTTCTTTTAATGTTAAAAGACACTGAAAGCCTTTTAGATTTTATTACTTGTATATTTTCTTTCTTGTTTTAATATGTTTGTCTGTGTCATGTGTCTATAAAGCCTTTCAGGCGGGATAATGGGCTCTACAAATAAACTAACTTGGCTTAACTGGTAATAGTCAATCTTACAAGCTTTAATAATTGTATCTGTGAAAATGTAGTTTTACATTTTTTGTGTCATCAATATCTTTTCGTTTTTGGACCAATAACAGGGACTTTTTGAGTGTGGTACACACCCTGATCCATCCAAACGTCAACAGTGCAAGAGTTGTTTTTTTTTACTAAACGTAATAATAAAAAGCTATGACTTTTTTAGTGCAATTTAATGTTTAAATTGGTATTATTTAGATACAAATATACTTTAGATGCAAATACAAAATGTATACATTTCAATTTCTATGGTAGTCTAGTGAAGTAATCTAACGAAGCTCAAAAGTGTCTGTAAAACCAACAGATTTGGATTTAAATGTAAAACATTCTTTCAGATGTTATGTACATCAGGTAAAAATGATAAACAACCTTTGACTCTATAAAGTTTTTATATCTCTAAATTAAAATTAGAACATTCACAAAGGCTTGTGACGTTTTAAGAAAATCATGTTCATGCCCTTTACATTTCATGGGTAAAGCAGAGAGACCAGGAAGGCGAATCTAACTGTGGTGATAATTTTTATCACTGACATGAGATTTACTGTGACCGTCACCTGTTAAACATCCAATAATACGAGATCAGATGTGTTGCAGTGGTCAGTAGATTATATTTTTCCTTTCAGAAATTAAAAACATTTTTTTACAAAGACCAACTTCCTTCACTCAAACTCTTTTGCACATTAAGCTCTTAATAGTGATCACCACAAACAGCAGAATCACTGCTTTACATCGATACACCAGCGCTGAGTGTGGACTAACACAGGACTAACCTGCTGACCAGTTTCAGTAACCTCCCACAGGACAGCATTTATTTAAAGGCGACCTGTTGCATTTATATTGTTAATTTCCTGCTCTATGCTTTTTGACTCCACTCCAGTATCACAGAATGATTCAAAGTTTAAAAACAATCCTTATTTTTCTTATTCCAGTCCCTTATGCAGCCCCTCAGTTCAAACTTTAAACCCCTCATCTGCTGACTGGCTGGCACTTGGAAGCCTACAGAGGGGTTTACCCAGTGCTTGTGAACTGTCCCCATTTAGTATGTAAAGAAATACAAAAACACCCTGGACCTTCAAAGTCTATTTTGTTCACATATAATATGAAAATCTGACCCAGTAACATTAAAAAAAAAAAAAACAGAAAAGCAGAACAGATACCCTTAAAAGATTTTCAGGCGTGTAATTATTTCAAATTAAAACGCTTTGTTTTTACAAACTGTCTCAGGGGAGAGATGTCTGTCTTATCAGCAGTTAAGGAGAAACTGCTATGTGAAAACACCAACAACTTTTCCAGTCTTAGCACAGGGCTGATTAACAGTTCTTTACTGAAGGTTTCTCATTTCCAAGGATTCTTTCTGGCTCAGAAATTTGAATGTGAGTGTTTAATTATGACCCTGAAATAAGTCAAAGAAAAGTTTCAGTAGTTCTAATGACAGAGGGGATTTACACTGGGCTTGGTTTACTTTTACTTTACATTTGTTTGTAAAAGCTCAAAATCATCTGATTTTTATGCTAGTAGCAGTAAATGACACGTGGCTAAAATGTTAGCGTTAGATTTGTTTGAAAGTTGTCTCTTTAATTATATACACAGATTATTGTACAAATTAAATACTGAACACAGAATGAGTGTCAACATTAGTGATACTGAAAATGTTATGATTTACTGATGCAATGTCAAATTCATGAAGTTTATAAAGTTCACTTCTGATGGTCGGATACATTTTGTTTAGTTTTGGGCAGTCTGGTCATGAGATTATATGATGATCTTTTGGAGTCACGCCCCTGCTTTTAGTTGCAAAGAAATCTGTCAGTCATTGGTGGACTTCAGTGATGTCAGTGGTTCCAACTTAAGGTCCAGTAATTTCATGGTGCCATGCGCTTTCCATCTTTTTGGCCTCAGGACTATTATTTTTGGTGACAATGCAAGAAACTGGTCCTAAATTAGGCTGCGTCTTCTCCTCGAGGCTGAAAGCTAATTTACAATCTAAGTATTTTTACTCTGAAAACCCTGACAGGAAGCAGTGACTTATACTCCTGTTCCTTTGAAGTTTTTTTTTAGTATACTGAAAACTTTTCCTTATCTGCTTTTCTCACCTTTAAGAGGATTATTGCATCTGATGGCCATTGCCTAATTTGTGACAAAACCAAAACACGTTTCTGCTTACTTCATGTGGAGTAGGAACTTTTAGACAGCGCTGTATATTTATTTATAATGTACAATTAATCTTAAAGACTAAAGTTGTCCACATTATAAAGTTGTCAGCTCACCCACTACAGTATTGGAGCACATATTGATGATCATTAACTCGTCTGACATTGAAACAAAACGTTTCAAAGAACAGAGAAACTTGGAAAGCTCATCAAGAACACGAGACATAACAATTTCCCATGATTAAAGCTGTAGTCATTGGTATTTCTGTATAAAAACAAATCAAATTATTGAGTGTTATTTGATGTCAATTACATTCAGGTGGATGCAAACATGACTTCCAACTCAAAACATTCACATTTCCATGAAGTTGCTTACAGCTTGCTCTGCTGCCCTCAATAATAAACTGCTATGGCTTTAAAGGACCAATGTGTAGGAATTAGTGACATCTAGTGGTGAAGTTGTAGATTGCAAGATACTGAATCGCCCTTTGTTTCCAACAAGCAGCAGAAATAAACACATTTGCAGGTTGGTAACAACTGTACGGACAGTGATTTTTATATATTTAAATATAATTCAACCATTAAGATTTTGCCAAGGCTTAAAATTGGGGTGTGGCGTGGATTAAACAGTGTGCTGACACTGGTCTCATCTCTTTCCTAGTCTTCACCTCTGCTGGACCCAGCTCACAACTTCACACTTTTGTGTAAGTAAATATTCTACTTCCAAATAAACAAAACAAAACAAAAACGTGGCAGCCTCCACAAGCAAACAGTGGTGGCATTGTCCATCTTTGATATACAGTCTATTGTTTACAACAATGTAGGAGCACCTTCAGTTCCATTTATAGCCAGTGCTGTTTGTCCTTTTTGGTCTTCAGTAGAAACACTAGTTATAAATCCTGGATTACATTTATGTTAATGGAGCATCAGAAATCCTA